CAGCGGGTCAAGAGATGCTGCTCGGCTTCTTGATTGGGCAGGAAGCCAGTTTGCTTAGCAAGAAGTAAAGCAGGCTCCCTATCGGGAAGCAGGGCGGCACATCCTGACCGGCCTCCCGGCTTCCTGATTAGCTAGTAAGCCGGCTTCACTTGTTCCTAGGCAGCCTGGCTTCCTGACCAATCATGATGCCAGGAGGCAGGTCTTTACGTGCCGCCAGGCTGCCTAGCAACAACTGAAGCCAGCTTCCTAGCCAATCAGGAAACCCGAAGGCAGGTCATAATCGACTGGCCGGCTTTCTGATTGGAAAGGAAGCCAGCTCAATGCTCCCTCAGCAGTGCCGGTCAGAGGGAGATCTCCCTATGACCGGACGTTCCAGTATCGGAGGTAAATATCGGAGCACTTGGGGCGAGTACTGGCCAAATACTCGGTATCGGCACAGATACTAGTATCAGTATAGGTGCATCCCTAATTATCACCCAGTGGTCTCATAAGAGAGGTCTGCACTAGCTGAAGCATGGAACTACCTGAAGGGCAAAGACTTTCTTAGGAGATATATGCAGAGGAAATGCCCAATCATTTGTCAGGCAGTCAGCAATCAAAGAAGGTTAATCAAGAAGTGTAAATCCACTTTTCACAGCCAAAAAACACCTATTTTCTTTTTGTTACATGTTCCCATTCACACAGCATAAGCTAAAAGAAGTTTAAATTGCTTTTATTTGGTTTATGGTTTCGTGGCTTCTTAAGGGTTAACAATTCTACTTGTTTCTCCATCTTTGTAATGTTAGGAGGGGTTATGATGGGATAAAGAATTAAAACACTGGCTTCTGCATTCAAATGTTAATGAAGTAAATGAGAGATACACAATCTGCCAACTTCAGTCCTAAGACTTTCTATTAGGACAGATCACTGTGAAGGTGCTGAGAAAAACTGGGAATCAGCCATGTTGCCTGCTGCAACAAAACATCTCAAAAGTTAATCAATACATTTCAGTATGCTGTGTGAACAGGAACACATAGGAAACATACAGTGGGGTTGTTAACATATTTGACTGCAGAAGTGGAAGTACATGTTAAAGTAGAAACCATAACTGGATGACATTTAGCTTGCTAAAGCCCTGGGTGTCAAACAATAGCCATGTATTTTTTTTTTAAATAAAATACTAATTTCAGTTTTTAATCTGTTAACTGCACTCAGTGTTGCCGGTCTCTTTCAGCAGCTTCCTATCAACATGCATTTGCTCCAGTGTCAGCTATACGTCATTGCTCAGGGTCATCTTCCTGACAGTGGCAATGGTAAACCATGCCTGCGGAATGTGTATGTGTATCAGACCAAAAACAGGAAGTGTATGAACAAGGACCTTGACCACCTGGATTTTTTTTTTTTTTTTTAAGAAAGCTGCATTATCAACGAGACTGAAAACTACATTTCAGTTGAACAATGCAAAACTTTTAGGAGATTTTAGTGACTGGGTTCAGATTACGGAAAAAAAACGCATATGGTACAGGTGTTCAAAATTGTCATGTAAGCCTTGCCCCAAAGATTTGTCAAAGATTATGAAGATAGTCTTCTAACCTGAAATGTACGTGTCTTTACTACACGTAATCACAACATTACCAGCAATCACAACTTTATTTTTATACTTGTACAGGACAGCTCGAATGTGATTTAAAGCAGTGGTATCCTCAGGACCCACATTTGTCCTTCTTCATTATGTCGCGACCCAAGTCGCACTGCAATCGAACGCACTGCATTGTGTTCAGGTGTGAGCGATTGAACTGTGGGTGGGAGGTGCGTTTGGGGTGCCATTCAAATGAAAGGCAACGCACCTCCCGCACCAAAATGCATAGTAGGTTGCGTGGTACAGTGCGGTAATGGCACAGGACTGTTCGATTATCGCACTGTACTAGTGTGAACGGGCCCTCAAAAACACTGACAGACACACACAACTACTGGCAAAATCTCATACACACTCCCAAAAAAAAAATTTCCTTTGTTTTTTAAGATCCAACCAGTCTCCCTACCTTACGAGAACTGGAGTAGATCCTCAGCCTGGGGTCATGTGTGGGCTGCTGATCTGTGACAGAGCTTCATCCATATGTGCATTGCTTGTACAACTCCCTTGCGCACCCTGTAGAGGTGACGGGAGCCATAATGTGATGTCACTCCGGTCCAGGCACCTCTACAGGACATGCGAGGGAGCTGGAATCTATGAATCTATGGATGGAGCTCCCTCGCGGCCATAGCTCCAGCCCACCTCAGACTGACACTCGGCACCGGGCAGCATATTTTGAATGGCTGCTTGGTGCGAGAACTGACAGTGCTGCACTAGGGGGAGGCTGAGAAGCCTCTCACCTAGAAAAAAGTAAGGCAAGTGGCAACCCACTGAACACAGGGTCGCAACCAACTTCTGGGTCACGACCCACCAGTTGAGTACCAAGGACTTAAAATATACATGATGCACATAGCAACAAACTTTTACACATGATGCCTTTGTAAAGCGGAGCACTGCTTAGAACTTTGAGAAGCATCAAAGTTGCTTTATAAAAAAAGTAAAATGACTGTAGAGAGTAGTACCTTATTATGGATCATCAGACAACATGTAAGCCCTGCACAGTACTTTAATTGGAACAGGTACATTTTTCTTTTAAGTGTAACTCAAGCCAAAAACATTTAACATAGGGAAGGGTTAACCCCCTGTAATGTTTGATTTGCTGTGTGTGCCCCTGTTCAAAAGATTTCACCTCACTTTCTGTCCCTGTGACAATTGAATTTTGAAAAATTTGGGTTGTCGTGGAAACAAGGATTGGTGATAAAGCTTCCGTGGAGACACCTTTTTCCCATGATCACTCTTATAGGAGTGAATTTCCCTTCCTAGGGTTAGATTTTCTCTCACTTCCTGTTGTCTCAAGGACAGGAAGCGAGATTAAATCTTTCTCATGAGGATACAGACAGCAGTAAAAACCTCACAGTGGCTCTAACCTGACACGATACTAACCGAAACAAAAAAAAATATTGCTGGATGGATGATGGAGTTTTACCTCTCTCTGATCTCTTTATTAATTCTACTTTTTCTCCATGGGGGTGGTTTTTCTTTTCTTTGCTGTATCGCCAGCACTTGCATCACATTTGTGTTTCGGAGGCATTGTTGCAGGGTGAATACAAAAAACGTGTACAGGGTTACCACAGTAACGAGAGCCAAGACCCGTTAGAAGAGGTGGGCACCCCTCGTCTGAAAATCTAACAAGAGCCAACTTCCTGTAATGTACGTACAAGTACTACGAACCAGACCCAAAAAGGCGGGCACCCCTCCTCGGCACGAGCGCGGTAGCATTACAACTAGTGTAACTCTGCCCGGTACACTTTGGCTCCTTAAAAATTACAGCTGGCGTCTAAAGGGTATAAATGCTTCTATTTTCTTCATTCAACCCGCCGGCTGATCGAAGAAATCAGAACACATTCAATGCTTATGAGCACTGATCAAGGAATCTCCTGCCGTTTCCTTTGTATTCTGACAGCACCCCGACAGATTTGTATCCGAACTTGAATTCTACTGTAAAAGAAAACTAAACCCAAACGTTTTTTTGGCTTTAGTCCTCTTTTGGGTCACAGAAGGACATTTACTAATGTCCTCCTGTGACCCAAAGTCAGCAGATAGTGGGCTACTGCCCGCTACTCTCCTTCCAGCGAGGAGCGCTGACTGACCGTCACCGCTTTTTGCGGGGGGAAGACTGTGAGCTGAGCGATCAGCAGTTTGTGATTGCTCAGCTCTCGATCTACAGAGCCAGCATGTGACACCTGCAGTGTCACACTGGCTCTAAGTATTGGGAAGGGTACATTTTACTCTCCCAATACTTCTCCTTTAAATGAAATCTGTCATTAGAATAAGCTTTAGAAACAAACTGTACAGAGTGACAGTAGGTACTTCCAAGTGGAAGTACAAATAGCATCATAAAATGTGGCTCTAGCCCAAGGTTTGTTTTTTTACTTGCCCAGATCACAAAAGCATGCATGTATATGTCTATAGAGAGTCACACCCAAATCGCTCGATCCCCAGCTTCCTTGGTGGGGAAAACAATACCCCAAGGCTGTGTTTACAAAAAGGTACCAAATGCAAAAGACCATCCAGTGCACACTTGTTGCAGAAGTGCACCTTCTATGTCTGACCATGCTCATAGAGGTTCAAAACAATCAACAGGCAGCCATTGGACAAACAACGCATTTCATGCTTGGGCCATCACCCACATGGCCATTTGGCCAAGTAATCTACTTTGAATCAGCAATTTAGGTAACATGCCTAGCAGGGGGTCACATGTGAAAATCATTTAAGGCCCTGAACATCTTAAAAACCTTGCAATTATATAGTTTCATTGTATTGCGATTCTAATAATGTCCTCTGTTTACTGCCGTTGTACATTTTGGTGCTAAACTAAGGCACTTACAGTGGACATAAGCTCAAAAAATGAAGATTTGCTGTCTAAAGGGAACACCTAATCATGTTAATTGTGCTTAAGCAGTACCCTGATAAATGTTATTTTTGTCTTGCAGTCAGCAGTGTACGATCATCCAAGGCACAGTTGCATCTGATTGCTAGTCTCATGTGATTGTAAGAACTGGTGTGGTTACTACTGTACTTCATGCTGGAGATAAAGCTGAACCTGAAGATCTTCAGTGCAAGGATCTCCCTGCTTCTGCTTCATTCTTTATGCATCGGAGTACGTTCCCTGCTGCTTCTTAAATAATACCCCACCAGTCATCAGATCAACAGTCATGAAGGGGTGTATCTGACATAAAGAAGCCAAGTCATGCTTCTCCACCAAAATGGCCACCATTACAGAACAAAGCATGTTAAGGAGAAAAGTGTAGCTGCAGGATGTGCACAGGCAATACTAGTGACTGGACATCTGTTCTCATTTGCCTTTGGCCACAGTATCCACAGTTCAGTTCCTCTTTAAAAGTAAAGTAGATGCTTCTAACAGCAAAACACAAATATATATATTTACCAGCTGATCCAACAATTCTTGCTTATTCTTTCTTTTCATTTTTTGCTGATGTTGTTCTTCCTTCTGTAGAAGAAGCCTCCTCTGTTCATTGTCATGCCTCTCAACTTCCAGGGCCTCTTCTAGCTCTTCCTGCTCCCTTGTCTATTTATGTCAAAGTATACAGATATTTATCAATATCATTACCATATATCAGTACAAATATATATACAGTTTCTGAACAATGCTTCTGACTATGCAGGAAATGCTTCATCAACCATTACTTGGCTACAAAAATGCACGACTAAAGTATAAATGATAATAGTTACATGGTTTGACTACCTGTGCTATAAATCAACAGGAAAGACAAATGGACAGAGATTCACTGGTCATGTAGTTATGTGCCAGATTTCCCTTTTCTGACCAACTCATACCTGCAGTCCAGCAAAGATTATCACTATGGATGCACCGATACTGGTTTTTGAGATTTGAGTACGAGTACCGATATTTTTTTTTTCAGTACTCGCCAATACCGAGTATCAATACCGGTGCCGTGTGCCCTGATAATCAGGAAGTCGGGCGGCAAATCATGACCCGTGGCGTGGCTTCCTGATTGCCTGGGAAGCAGGTGTTCTATCGAAAGAACATCGGCCTCACTTGCAGAGGCTGCCTGACCAATCAGAAAGCCGGGCAGCGGGTCAAGAGATGCTGCTCGGCTTCTTGATTGGGCAGGAAGCCAGTTTGCTTAGCAAGAAGTAAAGCAGGCTCCCTATCGGGAAGCAGGGCGGCACATCCTGACCGGCCTCCCGGCTTCCTGATTAGCTAGTAAGCCGGCTTCACTTGTTCCTAGGCAGCCTGGCTTCCTGACCAATCATGATGCCAGGAGGCAGGTCTTTACGTGCCGCCAGGCTGCCTAGCAACAACTGAAGCCAGCTTCCTAGCCAATCAGGAAACCCGAAGGCAGGTCATAATCGACTGGCCGGCTTTCTGATTGGAAAGGAAGCCAGCTCAATGCTCCCTCAGCAGTGCCGGTCAGAGGGAGATCTCCCTATGACCGGACGTTCCAGTATCGGAGGTAAATATCGGAGCACTTGGGGCGAGTACTGGCCAAATACTCGGTATCGGCACAGATACTAGTATCAGTATAGGTGCATCCCTAATTATCACCCAGTGGTCTCATAAGAGAGGTCTGCACTAGCTGAAGCATGGAACTACCTGAAGGGCAAAGACTTTCTTAGGAGATATATGCAGAGGAAATGCCCAATCATTTGTCAGGCAGTCAGCAATCAAAGAAGGTTAATCAAGAAGTGTAAATCCACTTTTCACAGCCAAAAAACACCTATTTTCTTTTTGTTACATGTTCCCATTCACACAGCATAAGCTAAAAGAAGTTTAAATTGCTTTTATTTGGTTTATGGTTTCGTGGCTTCTTAAGGGTTAACAATTCTACTTGTTTCTCCATCTTTGTAATGTTAGGAGGGGTTATGATGGGATAAAGAATTAAAACACTGGCTTCTGCATTCAAATGTTAATGAAGTAAATGAGAGATACACAATCTGCCAACTTCAGTCCTAAGACTTTCTATTAGGACAGATCACTGTGAAGGTGCTGAGAAAAACTGGGAATCAGCCATGTTGCCTGCTGCAACAAAACATCTCAAAAGTTAATCAATACATTTCAGTATGCTGTGTGAACAGGAACACATAGGAAACATACAGTGGGGTTGTTAACATATTTGACTGCAGAAGTGGAAGTACATGTTAAAGTAGAAACCATAACTGGATGACATTTAGCTTGCTAAAGCCCTGGGTGTCAAACAATAGCCATGTATTTTTTTTTTAAATAAAATACTAATTTCAGTTTTTAATCTGTTAACTGCACTCAGTGTTGCCGGTCTCTTTCAGCAGCTTCCTATCAACATGCATTTGCTCCAGTGTCAGCTATACGTCATTGCTCAGGGTCATCTTCCTGACAGTGGCAATGGTAAACCATGCCTGCGGAATGTGTATGTGTATCAGACCAAAAACAGGAAGTGTATGAACAAGGACCTTGACCACCTGGATTTTTTTTTTTTTTTTTAAGAAAGCTGCATTATCAACGAGACTGAAAACTACATTTCAGTTGAACAATGCAAAACTTTTAGGAGATTTTAGTGACTGGGTTCAGATTACGGAAAAAAAACGCATATGGTACAGGTGTTCAAAATTGTCATGTAAGCCTTGCCCCAAAGATTTGTCAAAGATTATGAAGATAGTCTTCTAACCTGAAATGTACGTGTCTTTACTACACGTAATCACAACATTACCAGCAATCACAACTTTATTTTTATACTTGTACAGGACAGCTCGAATGTGATTTAAAGCAGTGGTATCCTCAGGACCCACATTTGTCCTTCTTCATTATGTCGCGACCCAAGTCGCACTGCAATCGAACGCACTGCATTGTGTTCAGGTGTGAGCGATTGAACTGTGGGTGGGAGGTGCGTTTGGGGTGCCATTCAAATGAAAGGCAACGCACCTCCCGCACCAAAATGCATAGTAGGTTGCGTGGTACAGTGCGGTAATGGCACAGGACTGTTCGATTATCGCACTGTACTAGTGTGAACGGGCCCTCAAAAACACTGACAGACACACACAACTACTGGCAAAATCTCATACACACTCCCAAAAAAAAAATTTCCTTTGTTTTTTAAGATCCAACCAGTCTCCCTACCTTACGAGAACTGGAGTAGATCCTCAGCCTGGGGTCATGTGTGGGCTGCTGATCTGTGACAGAGCTTCATCCATATGTGCATTGCTTGTACAACTCCCTTGCGCACCCTGTAGAGGTGACGGGAGCCATAATGTGATGTCACTCCGGTCCAGGCACCTCTACAGGACATGCGAGGGAGCTGGAATCTATGAATCTATGGATGGAGCTCCCTCGCGGCCATAGCTCCAGCCCACCTCAGACTGACACTCGGCACCGGGCAGCATATTTTGAATGGCTGCTTGGTGCGAGAACTGACAGTGCTGCACTAGGGGGAGGCTGAGAAGCCTCTCACCTAGAAAAAAGTAAGGCAAGTGGCAACCCACTGAACACAGGGTCGCAACCAACTTCTGGGTCACGACCCACCAGTTGAGTACCAAGGACTTAAAATATACATGATGCACATAGCAACAAACTTTTACACATGATGCCTTTGTAAAGCGGAGCACTGCTTAGAACTTTGAGAAGCATCAAAGTTGCTTTATAAAAAAAGTAAAATGACTGTAGAGAGTAGTACCTTATTATGGATCATCAGACAACATGTAAGCCCTGCACAGTACTTTAAACCATGAAACTAAATGAGAGAAAGGAAAACAGCTGGCTGATCCCTTGATCCTACATGTAAAGTTCCAGGATCATAACACTGCCGTTCCCTGCTACGCTATCATTAGAAATTCAATATTTCAGCCTTGCTAGTCAGTTCCTAGTGTCCATCACATGTAACAGCTAAAGACAAATCTCAAACAAACAACAGGAAAAGCTTACCATATGCTTCAATACTAACCAATTTTACTTTGTTTCTTGAGATTGTGTCTTTGTTCAGTTTTTGATACATATCGAGTTTTTTTTTGGTGTCGTCAAGATCAACATTGTTAGTCAAGTTGAACACTGGCAAAGTAAGAAAAAATGAAGGAGAAGCAAATTTATTATTGTTGAACAAACATAAAAAAGACATCAGGTGTGACGCATTGCGTTTCCTGCAGTCTTATGACTGAGAAGAAAGAAAGAATGATAGTTACAAAATAAATACATTGGCCAGCCTGTAAAGAAAAGAACACTGACCCGTCCCATCACTAATCATTGCTCTCCAGTAGAGCCATAACAAAATGAAAAATCTTCAGCAACTGACACATGTGGGTGCATAAGATGCTTGGTACCCCTCTGCGCTGTAGTGAAATAGGAGGTGGCTGATGAAATCACATCATGCAGAGTGGGACCAGGCATCTGGCATACCCACAAGAGTAGGATGCTAAAGATTTTTTACACACCATATGAATATCCCTTCTATAGAGCAAATATCTGTGACGCGAGCTTTGGGACAGGTAAGTAATAATTCTTTTCTTTACAGGAGGCTAGAGATAAAGTCATTCCATCCAGAACTCCTGCATACATAATTGAGATGTATATATGGCAACCTTCTACAACCACCCCTGCCAGACAGCATAACCGGGTCTTGGACCGCCACTATAGTTACAGCAGGACCACGACACTGCCCCAGCTTGCCGACTAGATAATGAAGAAGCAGTACAGAGAGAAGGTCTTCTCTCTGCTCACTCAGACCTCTCCCCTTCCAAGGTCTGTTCACTTCCAGCACAATAACATTGCAGTAGAGCCTAAAGCAGGCCATACATGACTACATTTCTCTCCATCCATGCTAAACAGTAATCTCCAGTGCTGGCAATTGCATACCTGCAGCTGCAACACCCATGACAGCCTAAAGAACTTCGGGCTACATCAGATAGGATGCAGTAACTGCTCGGCCAATAATCTTCCATACAACTTTTGTTGAGCTGGTTGGTGTTTGCAGGGCCAGCCACTGCTTGAATTTTGGCCAATTTAGCTGGAATCTGCTGAAATGCAAGCCGTGTATGGCCAGAATAATTGCTCTACAGGATATTACAGGAGACTGATATTGAGATAGTGTCCAATACTTGTATTAGGTTTATTTAAAATACATTGATTTCTTAATGAATGCCTAACTGCATTTTTTTCAATTTGTCTATATTTCAGCTTTAAAAAGAAGATCTATGGCCGAACCTTTTTTGGCATTAGTTCTCTTTTGGGTCACAGGAGGACATTTACTAATGTCCTCCTGTGACACAAAACTCAGCATATAGCGGGCTATTGGCTATCATGCTGCAGCTGGGAAGGATCCCCGCAATATTGAAGGGATCCTCCCAGCTACCCGATTGACAGTTGGCTCTGCCTCTCTAGAGTCAAAGCCAGCTGTACCCACCCCTTCCCCTGTGTGCCCCTCCAGTCAACGATGGAGGAACGTAGAGGATGAGTGTATTTCACTCTCCCCATTGTTCTCTTTTAACGGTGATACCAAAGGGCTGACCTATAACATTTGGGTAAGGATTTAGATATCCAGCTATCAGAAAGCAGTCAGATTTAGATATTTCATGTCATGGCTTTCGTAGACGATTATATTTTAGAACATGACCCAGCTCCATTCAGCACATATTTCTAACAAGAAGGAAATACGTTCTATCACTGTCAACAGTCCCAACCCAACAGAGGATTGAGTTTCATCCCTCCACCCACAAAAGACCGACCCAATTTAGATGACGTTTCATAAAAGCTAGAAGTATTGTTTTTGTTATTTAACTTGAAGACACACCTACCTATTTCTTCAATTTCCTCCAGAAAATCATTGTATTCTCTCAGAGATGGAAAGTCTTCTTCACGCTTATTATATCTACCAAGAAAGAAAGATATTTAAACATAATTCAATAATTCAGCAACATCCGTGCTAGCTAATGGACATCTGATCGATATAAATTTGTTTTATTATATTTTCTCAACGTGAGGTGTTACTACCTAGTGCTATTTGTCATATGAAAGGAAAAACACTGCAGGATGCATTACATCTCTTCTCTTCTTACATTGTATTACCGTAAAACCCTGGGAGGACCTGGGTATTCACATACAGGTATAATTCTAGTATTTACAACCTAGTACATTACATGAACCCAGCTCACCTTTCACATATTTATATGCATGTTTCCCTTCTGACAGATTTATACACAGAGGTAAATTTAGAACACTCCGTGAAAGTGACTGAACGTGGAGACGGATGTGGCCCCTCCATGGCCTGAAACTCAATAGCTTTTATAGACAGGCACTCTCTCTTGGGCCTCATTCACACAAGTATCTGACAGAAATGGGCCAGAGCAATCCAATACTTTCATCTTTCTAGTGCCGCTTTTAAACTGAAAAGTAGAATCGGATTGGATGTAAAAAGGAAACCTTTGCTTTGTCCATACAAGCTGAACTCCGGGTTAAGTAAAAATGCAGTGGGCATCCCCTTCACACTGCAAGGGTTAAATGCTGGCTTTATAAGCACCTATACTTATCTTGTTCCTCACTACCGCTGTTCCTCCGAAGTCACTTCCGTTGGCTGTTCCACTGGTCGCAGGCATTCTCGTTGTCATCATGTAAAATGCAGCACCAGCAATCCTGCAACGAATGCAAGGACAGCAAGGGCCTGCCCACATCCCAGAGTTTTGGAGAGCGGAGGAGGGCAACCGCTGCCAATGGAGCGAAGAATAAGGAAACTATAGATGCCTATTGCTCTTTCCCTAATAAAAAGGGAGCATTTAACTCTTGTAGTTTTTTCTGTTTGTTTGCATGATGCCTACGAGGGTGGAGTCACAAACTTGAAGGTGAAGCTCTTGCTGGCGCTGAAATATATATGACCCAGTAGGTAATTCAGACTAGCCAAATCTCCCACCCATAACATGAAAGTCAGTTTAAATAAGTTTAACTATGGGCAGAATAATTCTTAACTCTTGCAGTGGGGCTATCCCGCACTGCAAAGGTTAAGTGTTCAGTACTCAGTTTTAGGAAACAAGGGACAAGACAGAGCGCCTCCATAGTGTAAAAGGGTAATTTATTTGTAAAACACGCAAATGAAAATTTTGACCAGTGAGAGCTGCCCTTTGAGTGTCTAAACAAACTTCATAACCAGCCCATCTTGCAACCAGAGGCGCCGGTATTGGTTTTTTCAGTACTCAGTTTTGTCTAGGGACAAAACTGAGTACTGCTTTGTCCTAAACGAAAATGAGCACTTAACGTTTGGAGTGCGAGGGTAGCCCCACTGCAAGAGTTAAGAATAATATTTCCCGGAGTTCTTCCTTAAGGTGTACACAATGCCTAATGCGTCTCGGTCACTAAAATAAAGATGTAAAAATTCCTGGTCCTCCTTTGCAGTCTGCGGTTCCCGTCACTGGGCCTATATCACTATACGACATAGCAGTCAGAGGATGGATTTTGTTTATTATTTATTTACTAGGGATGCACCGATACCATTTTTTTCTGGTATCTAGTATGAATACCGATATTTTGCTTTCAGTACCTGCCGATACCGAGTACAGATAACGGTGCTTCCACTGGCATGGAGTCGGCTTCCTGGGCAATTAGGAGGCCGTCTCCATGTTGTTTAGCTCGCTTGATTGTGATTGGCCGGGAAAAGGGCTTCCAAGCCCATGAGCATCGAGACGGCAATCAGTAATGACCCGCCGACCAGTTTCCTGATTGCCTAGCTCCATGCTGATTTGCTAGAAAGCCGGCTTCCCAGCCAATCAGCTAGGAGCCGGCTTCCTGGCCAGTCAGGAAGCCAGGAGGAGGGTCATTACTTACTACCCAGCTTCCTGATTGCCCGGAAAGCTGGCTTTATGTTCCCCTACGGCGCTGCCGGCCAGAGGAAATCTTCCTCTGATCGAAAGTTCCGGCATCAGGGAAGGTATTGGAGCATTTGGGCGAGTACAAGTACCAAATACTCGGTATCTGCACCGATACTAGTATCGGTACATCCCTAGTATTTATATAGCACTGACAATTTACGCAGTGCTTTACACAGTGCATATTCACATTAGTCCCTGCCCTCAAAGAGCTTACAATCTAAGGTCCCTATCTTACATGTATACATACCAGGGCCAATTTAGACAGGAGCCAATTATCCTACCAGCATGTATTTGCAGTGTGGGAGGAAACCCACACCAGCACAGGGAGAACATGCAAACTTCTTGTAGGTAGTGACCTGACCGGCATATGAACCGAGCACCCCCATTGCTACAAGGCAGAAGAGCTAACCACTACGCCACTGTGCTGCCCTATTGAAAACAATTCATTCAAATCAAGTCTGAGCACAGCAGGTCTAAAGCTGGCCATACTGGTACCATAGATGGTAGATTCTTAGATGAACGTTCATAGAAACAAATCTGATCAGAACATTCAATAATGCTATCAGGGACTTGCCAAATGTTGTTTGAAATTTAATTTGGTGTTAACATTTGATTAAGGAATCAATAGAGTTTACCCAACAAAAACCACATTTAGTGTTAAAATTTTGCTGGAGAAAAATGTCCCAACCTGCTCAATTTTTTTGTCATTACGGTTTGAAAAACAATCAATTTTGACCCCATTACCTATCAGAAAATCGAACATCCGAAAATGACTTTTTTCTAAATGAAATTATACTGGTATATGGCCAACTTAACCTAGTGATAGCAGACAATACAATCGAGGATAAACAGTTGGACCTGGTTGCTGGCACCACCGCTTAACTTCCCTAACGCGCAACAATGAAAAGATCCCTGCGTTGCTGCAACTCTCAGAACTGTCCACCTGCTGTCCACCACCGATGTCACCCTAAATATAGTTAATGACTGAAAGACTATATTTAGTAAGCGACAGCAGAGTGTCTAGGCACGTACTAGCGCTGTGCAGAACAGGATCACATGTTTGATACACTTACTTCATAACATATTATTCCTACCTGGTCCCTGAAGGTAATGAGCAAGAAGAAACACTCACATTTTTATGATCTTTTTGCGGATCTCAACTTCTTTATCGATTGTGGGGTCTTCAAAGAGCTGCACTCTAAAGTTGCTTTTCCGGAGGGGAGTGTTGCATTCCTGGCAAGTACCGGAACCTCGAGCAAAGAGCAACTCAACACAACTTTCACACCTAGGACAACAAGAAAATGAAAAATGAGAAAAACGTAATATAGCTCACTAACAAGAAATGGCAACTTCTTTAAAGCACAAATGAACGCAGCTCTGTTTTCAATAATACATCATTACAGTAGAAATCAAGTCTCTTTTCTGGAATATATCTGCTGCTAGTAAGCGGTAGATATATGTCCCAACTTTGAAAAAAAAAAAAAAAGAAAGTTGGCAAATGCCAACAAACTTACCTGTGTCAGCGTAACTTGCTCCAGCTGCAAAAGTTCTGGCTCCCAAACGCTGTGAAAGAGGAAGTGTGGGCAGGCGCATACGCAGTCCAGAGCATCAGATGGGAGTGGAGGAGAGCAACACAGAAGCTGAATAGACGCAGCCGGGCTCCAGGGAGCGCGCACGTCGGACAGACACCGTGGGACCCGAGGAGTCTGCGATGGATCAGAGACCGGCACCAACTCTGGAAGGACTTTGGAAAACGAGTGGAAGGAAGAAGCTGTTCAGATCAAGAGGCATCACAAGGGGGGTGCGGCCTGCACCCGGGTGACACCAAAATGACTGACAGTCATCTTGGTGTCACCCCCCTCTGAAAATTCCCCACAGTTTCGGGAGAAGTGGACCCAGAAGCATACCTTATCCCACCGTGTGACTGTACGCTCCTCTCTCTGCTGGCGTCCATCACCAAGATGGCCGCCGGCAGGGATCAATAAGTTAATCACGCACGCGCGTGGTGATGTCACGCCGGGGTGACACTCGCTGACACCCGCCCTCGGGACGCCCTGCATAAGTTAATCGTATGGGGGGGGTTGTACCTTTAATTACACTTTAAATGTATTTGTTGAAATGTAGTCCAATGTACAGCAGAACATAAACTGGATGAGAGAGAAGGAGCACAGGAAACCAGTCAGTAAAGCTCATGTGCTAACAAGGAGCATGGTAATAGGAGAGAGCACAGTGGCAGAGAGATGAGCTCATCAGTCTGCTGCTTCTCCTTTCACTTTACAATCACAGGTTGGGGGAAGAGACAATGCCTGTAAGCGTTGCATGCCTGCAACAGAGAAACACTGGGTCCCTTGCTCCGACAGGCAAGGCTGTGCTCTGTGGCAGAGTTATGGAAATCTCAGAAAGTCCAGCCCTGGATTCTAACCCAGGGCTGGACGAATCCCAGGAGCCAGGTTGCCAGTGCTCCTTAATCATGACAGTGCCCAAAATTTGAGGTTTTCTCTAGTTGTCTTCAATAGAGCTGCCTCCTAAACAATCCTGCTGTCTCCTGGATTGAACAGACTGGTTCCTGAATTTGTCCACTTCTGTTCTAGCTATTGCCCAATGTAAAAATTATATACAGGTGAAACTCGAATAATTAGAATATCGTGCAAAGTTCATTTATTTCACTAATGCAACTTAAAAGGTGAAACTAATATATGAGATAGACTCATTACATGCAAAGCAAGATAATTCAAGCCATGATTTGTCATAATTGTGATGATTATGGCTTACAGCTCATGAAAACCCCAAGAACCCCAAATCCACAACCTCAAAAAAGTAGATTATTACATGCAATCAATAAAACAAGGATTGTACATAGAACAATATCGGACCTCTGAAAAGTACAAGCATGCATATGTACTGAGTACTTGGTTTGGGCCCCTTTTGCAGCACTTACTGCAATTACTTTTGCACGATATTCTAATTATTCGAGTTTCACCTGTATTTCCTCTCACTTTGCGTGTATATAACATGAAATTGCAAATAAGCAGTTTTTGCTCTTTTCAAAAGGTCGCAAACATACTATAAGCCTAAATTATCCTCTAAACAAAGCACATGCAGCTTGCCTAGGCAGCACCTTATATACAGAGTGCTGAGCTTGTCATTAAAGTGACATTAAACCCTCAGATTTTTTAACATAAACCAATACTGTAATGTGTGCCTTACTGTAATCCATGGTTGTTTCCCTTCTCTTAGCTGCTCTTCCTTTTAAATCCTCAAGTCTTCTCATGCTGGGGGAGAACTTCCCTTTGCAGCTGAGTGCCTCTTCCTGTAGTGCTGGCTCAGGTTGCAAACCTACACACAGACACCATGTATCCCTTTAAGAGACAAGGCAGTCTGCTGCAAAACAGAAGTTCTGCCCAGCATGAGAACAGATACAGATTTAAAAGGAAGAGCAGCAAAGAGAAGGGAAACAACCATGGATTACAGTAAGGCACACATTACAGTATTGTTTTATGTTAAAAGATCTGAGGGTTTAATGTCACTGGATGTGAACCTGTCAAATCAGCACCAACACTGATAACATAGCCCTCCTTACCATCTTATCTTGAATTGTATTGCAACTGTAATGTCTTCCTTTTATTGTAAAGTGCTGCGCAAACTGTTGGCGCTATATCATCCTGTACAATAATAATAACAACTTACTTCCACGAGGCTATTCTACAGGTACTGAGCGAAACCTACAGGTGATTTCAGTGGCAACCACATTCCAAGGGTAATTTTTCTAATGTTAGAAATGAAAAACAAGCATCTGATTGGTTCTATTTCCACTTGTCATGGCTTCCATTATTACAGTAATCCAATGTTTGCAAGTCGAGCGGTTTAATTTCTGTTTTTTAGACGCAACTCAGAAACTGGAGAGTGTTTGATGGAGGTGGGATATGACTGGGAAAAGATCAATGTGTATATGCTGGAGGTGGGATATGACTGGGAAAAGGCCAATGTGTATATGCTGGAGGTGGGATGTCACTGGGAAAAGGCCAATGTGTATATGTTGGAGGTGGGATGTCACAGGGAAAAGGCCAATGTGTATATGCTGGAGGTGGGATGTCACTGGGAAAAGGCCAATGTGTAAATGCTGGAGGTGGGATGTCACTGGGAAAAGGCCAATGTGTAAATGCTGGAGGTGGGATGTCACTGGGAAAAGGACAATGTGTATATGCTGGAGGTGGGATGTCACTGGGAAAAGACCAATGTGTATATGCTGGAGGTGGGATGTCACTGGGAAAAGACCAATGTGTATATGCTGGAGGTGGGATGTCACTGGAAAAAAGCCAATGTGTATATGCTGGAGGTGGGATGTCACTGGGGAAAGACCAATCTGTGTGATGTCACTAGAGAAGGACCAGGAAGAGGCTGTGCACAGTGTCAAAGTGAAAGGAACTTTGAAATTCTAGAAGATAAATGATATAAAGCTTACAGTTTTCTTTCATCTGTTCAGTTCCTAGCTATTCATGGGTAAGGTAAAAGCAAACTATAGTCATCTCTTGAAGCCATGCTGGTTTATAAGAGGACTGGTAATAATGATAACTTTGTTAGTCTTGTGATGGAGGTATGGGGACATAATGGGCAATCCAGACGGTCTATCATTGTAAAAAGCCTAAAGCTGAACTCCAGGTTTAAAGTACTATGCACATTTACAAGGGTCCAGCTTGGCTCAATGTAAGTACACGAGGCCCATTAGCTACTACACTGCTGACAGCATACTTCCGGGTCCTGTAATGGTGCCGTGCTGAGCAGCTTCCCCCATAAACAGTATTTTTGATGAAATTACATTGGGTTTCCACAGCCCATTATGATGTACAAAGTGCCAAGTATTTTACGCTCCCGTTGCTGGAGAGTTACTGTTGTACTTATAGTGCCAAATAAACTAATAGTGAGCTGACAGTCTTTCTGTACGTTTCAGTTCAGTTTACAAATGCACAAAAACGTAGGTTGCACACAAAGCCCTCATGTAAAAGGAAATGTTCTACAGACTACTTCAAAGTGAACCAATACAACATTTGCACAATAAGATCAACAAGAAACAGGTTTTTGCATGTTTATTTTCCAAGGCGTGTGTGCGTACATTTTTGTGATTTTTGTACGAAAGAAGCATGCCTCAATTATAATCGGACAGGCAGCTGGTTATTCAATGACTCGTAAATTTAATGTTGCGTAGCTTACTTGGAGGGGTGGGGGGGGGGGAGCTATACATTTATTGTACACTTGATCGACATATAATTTCTCATTGAGCAAGAAGCCTGAAATTGAATGCTGAAATGTCCTAGAGAAGAATTCACAAGGCAATGCGCACAGACGATAACTTATTTCTGACAATTTGACAGTAATCTTAAAATGTGATTGGTTTACTA